TTTTCTAACTCCAGGTCTTTGCACATTTCATTATAGTAATTGGCTTTGTCTGCTCTTTGAAATCTTCTGTTCAGCTCTTTTATCTTGTCAGTTCTTCCATTTGCTTTGGGTACTCTCTGTTCAAGGGCAAGATTCAGAATCTCTGCTGAGGTCCATTTTGGTCTTTTCTTCCTGTCTTTTTAATTACCTTTTGCTTTCTTCATGGATGATATACTTGATGTCACCCTACAATTCCTCTGGTTTTCCATCCCTGGTTCAATGCATCAAATCTTTTCTTTACAAAGTCTCTGAATTCAGGAGGGATATCATCAAGGTCGTATTTTGGCTCTCGTGGACTTGTTTTAATTATCTTCAACTTCAACTTGTACATGCAAATGAGCAGTTGATGGTCTGTTATACAGTCAGCTCCTGGCCTTGTTTTTGCTGAAGATATTGAGCTTCTTCATCACCTCTTGCCACAGATGTAGTCAATCTGCTTCCTTTGTATTCCATCTGGTGAAGTCCACATGTATAGCCATCATTTATATTGTTGAAAAAAAAGTTATCTGCAATCAATAAATCGTTGGTCTTGCAAAAATTCTATCGTGGGATCTCTACCATTATTTCTATCACCAAGGCCAAATTTTCCAACTACCAGTAATTCTTCTTTGTTTCCAACTTTTGCATTCCAGTCACCAGTGATAATCAACAAATCTTGATTTCATGTTCGGTCAATTTCAGACTGCAAAAGTTGGTAGAAATCTTCAATTTCCTCATCTTTGGCTTTGGTGGTTGGTACATAGATTTGAATAACAGTAGTATTAAATGGTCTTCCTTGCAGGCATATGAATATTATCCTATCACTGTCAGTGCTGTACTTCAGAACAGATTTTGAAACAGTCTCTGTGGTAATGAATGCCACTCTGTTGTTGTTGTTGTTATGTGCCATCGAGTTGGCCCCGACTCATAGCGACCCCTCCTTGGGTTTCCGAGGCAGTATCACTACGGAAGTAGGATTGCCCAACCTTCCTTCCGAGGAGTGGCTGGTGGGTTTGAACCGCCAGCCTTCTGGTTAGCAGTCAAGTGCTTTAGCCACTATGCTACCAGAGCTCCCTTCACTCTAGTCCTTTTCAATTTGTCATTCCCAGCACAGTAGATCATATGGTTGTCTGACCCAAAATGGTCAAAACAAGTCCATTTCAGCTCACTCATGCCTAGGATATTAATCTTTATGCATTCCATTTCATTTTTGACAATTTCCAATTTTTCCAGACTGTTATTTCTTACATTGCATGTTCTGATTATTAACGGATGTTTGCATCTGTTTCTACTCATTTTGAGTCATGCCACAGCAGCCAATGGAGGTCCTAAAAGCTTTACTCTATCCATATTGTTAAGGTCACCTCTACTCTGAGGAGTCAGTTCTTCCCAAGTCAAATTTTCAGTGCCTTCCGACCTGAGGGGCTCATCTTCTGGTACTATATCAGACAGTGTTTCAGGGCTATTCATAAAGTTTTCCAGTAATATATCAGAGAGGATTTCACTGCTATTCATAAGGTTTTCACCGGCCTATTGTTTGAGAAGTGGATGGCCTCTTCCTTCTTCCAAGTCTGTCTTAGCCCAGAAGCTCCACTGAACCTGTCCACTATGGGTAAGCCTGCTGGCATTTTGCAGCACGAGTGGCATAGCCTCCAGCCTTACAGCAACACATAAGGCATCACAGGACGACAAACTGACAGACAAGTTTGTCTCTCTTAGATGCTCCTAACTGCTCTACATCTACCAACCTCAGGCCTTGGCCTTAAAACAGAGCCACCCCCAAGTGAAAGCAGCTCAAGCCCTACCCCGCCCCCCCCGAGAATATGGCCCTGAGTTATATCCTTCAGTCCTGGAAGTGGACTCACTTCTATGGATTAACTCTCAGCCTAACAACAGAGAGACCTACAAGCAGAACACATGCCACAGGGAGATGCATCCACCTACCCTAGGGAAACGTACCCCTTAGACTGATCAACCACGAGACATCAGAAAGGCAGTATTTGCATAAAGGGAAAGCTAGACAGACAGGAATGCATAGGGAAGGGTAGTCACAGGAAGGAGATGTCAGGAGAGATTTTATTGTTGGGACTGTAATTGGTGCCATGAAACCAAATGTGCATTATGTGTGAAGAGTAAAACGAATTTGCTTTGTAAACCTGTACCCAAATTACAGTAAAATAAATAAATAAATAAAAACAATCAGCAAATAATAGCTTTTTCAAAAGGCTAGTCAATAGCTATCTTTGATTCATGTCTATAAAATAGGTTATTTCAGAAAAGTCTGGATGATTTTTTATTGGTTTCAAGACTGTTAGAATCTATTTGCAAGATTTTCCTCCATTATTATAATGACAATATTACATTCTTACTATTAGTCTT